ATTATATTGTTGTTATTATTAAAAAAGAAAATAATTATCATTCTCCCCCATGTTATTAAGCGAATTGTGGTGCGTGTGTTGCGTTTTCGATACTAATAACTCGTCGGTCCCCTGCAGTCGGTTTTTATTTGTCTATTCAAATTCGCCACCGCAGGCACACCATCCACAATCAATAACATCGCATAACTCAAAACTAACAGCACATAAACCCAGCCCACTCGCAAAACTCGCATCTGACAAAATAATAACAATATTAAAACAGATATCGCCCACTCGCTTAAATCATTTTTAATTATCGATCTATCCGAAGCCAGCCCCGATAATTCTCGCCGTTTGCTATTTCGACCCAATAATCCGAATTTCTATAAATCTCGAGTCGTGATCGTGGCCCATTATTAACTTTTGAAAAGCTCATTTGTGATAAGACTTCGATTGAGCAGACAGCCTTATTTACTACCTCGTGCCCGCAGGGCCGGAGCGCATCGACTTTAACGGTGCCACGCCGGAGGATTAATGGTGTTTGCATTTTTAGAAGATGTATCTATTATTTCGGAGGAAAAAACCGGCGGCCTATTACGAATTGGCGAGCCGGAGAGGATCTAATCATCTCCTAATTGTCTAAAATTGTCTTCAATTATTGTACCGTTTAAAGGCGACGCCGTAAAGAGGAATTATTAGCGTTAATGCATGTATTATTAAGTACTTAAGTGCTTAACCTTGATCGAGACTAATTCGGCGAACGGAATATCACTTTCGGATTGTTGTGTGTTCGTGTTGATTTTTTTCCCCACCCCGGTTTTATTATTAATGACAAGTCGCCCCAGCGTTGCCGCCCCTTTCGTCAGACTAACAACTTTTCTTATCAGAGGCGATGTTGAAATTCATGAATGCAGCGCCGGCGAAAACTATCGCGTCAGATGAAACGTGATTCCGCTGATCATCTTCAAAGTAAGCGAAATCGTCTGTTTGTGAATTATATCAACATTTCAGCCGACAAACTCAAACAAGCCGTGTGTACAGTCGCGTATAAATATTGTAAATATGCATGCTTGAAGACAGGGGCGCACTTGTCGGACCGGAAATTATTGCAGTTAAATTTGAATTGTTAATGTGCACTTTTCACATTAGAACCACTGAACTTTATTTTTAGAATTTTTTATTTTTGTGTAGTAATCGAGTCCATTGGGCGATTTGCCACTTTCATGTTTTCTCGCCCACCATGATGACGTCAACTCAAGACTTTGCAATAATAAATTTGTTTTTATTTGCATAAAATAAGATACTCCTGCACATCCAGATCTATAGAAAAAAAAAACAAAATTTCATAACATTTTCGATTTTGTAATTTTTCGTGTACCTATTCAATTTTTCAAATTTTCCGTATTTCGATTTTATAATACATATTTCGTTTTTTCCATTTTGCGCGTTCTCAATTTTTAATCTTCCGGTTTTTCAATTTTTCTTTTGTTCAATTTCAAGTTCTTGATATCCAATTTTTAGATTTTTCAAAATTTTCATTTATGCTTTTTTTAATTCGAAGAGTTGAAAAATCGAAAAATTAAAAATTGAAAACTAGAAAAACTGAAAAAAAGGAAAAGTCGCAAAATCGAAAAATTGCAAATTGAAAGACCCGAAGAAACAAAAAATTGTTACATTGACACTCTAAAAAAATTAATAAATCGAAAAATTGGATAAAATCGAATAATTGAGAGATTGAAAAATTAAAAATCGGAAATTTGAAAATCCAATAAAAAAATAAATCTAATAATAATTGAAAAATGTAAAAATTGTATAATTGAAAAAGGGAAAAAAAACTAAATTATGACTATTATTAGGACATATAAAATGAAAACTCAAAAAAATCCAAATCCAAAATTAAAGAAACAAAAAGTCGAAAAAATCAAGAATCTGAAAAATCTAAAATTGGAAGATGAAAAATTAAAAAATCTAAAAATCGAAAAGTTGAAAAATTGCAAATCAAAAAATAATAAAACCAGAACATTGAGTAACCTAAAAATTGAAAAAAGTAACGAAATTGAAAAACTGAAACGAAAAATTGAAACATCCAACAGTTGGAAAATCGAAAAACTAAAATACGGATACTCGAGAGTTGCATGTGGTAAAATTAAAGGAACAGAAAAATGAAAATTGAAAAATTGTATGGAAGGATTGAAGAAACGAAAAGTTGAATAAACAGAAATTGAAAAAGAAAAAAATTATAAAAATAAAGAAGATGAAAAACCGTAACTAAAAATCGCAAATTGAGCATTTCAAAAAATGAAAAATTGAAAATGGAAAAATTAGAAAATTAAAATTTGAAAAAAAAATGTCGGAAAAATTCCAAAATCGTAAGATTGAAAAAGTGAACACTTTTTAAAATTATTATCATTTTTTAAATGAAAACTATAAAAATTGCAAAATCAAAAATTGAGGAAACTAAAATTAAAAAATCATGAAACTGGCAAAACGAAAAAGTAAAAAATCTTAACGTTGAAAAATCCAAAAATTGAAAAATTAAACCCAAAAATTGAAAAAAAAACCGAAACGAAAAATTAAAAGTTGTAATATCGAAAATCTGAAAATTTTAAGAATGAAAACTTGAAGAGTTGCACATCGTTAAATTGAAGAAACAAAAAAAATGAAAAACTCAAAATTGCAATTCGAAAAGTTGAATAAAAAATTGAAATTGAAAAAACAAAAAATTATAAAATGGGAAAATTGAAAAATATTGTACAAATGAAGAAAATAAAAAACCGCAACGAATAATTGCAAATCGTAAGCTTGAAGGACTGAAAAATTAAGGAATCGGAAAATTGAATAATTAAAAATTGGAACCTCGAGGAATTTTAAATCAAAAAATTGCAAAATCGAAGAATTGGAGAAACAAGAAAAGTAAAAATTGAAAAATCGCAAAACGAAAATCTGAAAAACCGAAAAATTGAAAAAATTAAAAAATTCTAAAATCTAAACATTAAAAATCGAACATGTAGGTAATTGAAAAAAATAAAGAAAACAAAAAACCGAAACGAAAAATTGAAAAATACAAAAGTCTAAAAATTCAAAAATTGAAAAATTAAGTATTGGAAAAAGTAAAATTATAAAATTAGAACATCGAAAGTTTGAAGATATGAAAAATTAAAGAATCGAAAAATTGAAAAATTGAAAATTGAAAACTCCAGAAATTTTCAATCGAAAAACTGAAGGAAGAAGAAAAATTGAAAACTAAAAAATCTCAAATCGAAAAATTGAAGGAAGAAGAAAATTTGAAAACTAAAAAATCGCAAATCGAAAAACTGAAATGAAGAAACGAAAAATTAAAAAAATAAAATTTGAGACAACAAAAAAATTAGAAAATTAAACATTAACAATGGGATATGTAATTAAAAAAAATCAAGAAAATAAAAAACCAAAAAAAAATGTAAATTTAAAAACTAAGAATTGAAAACTCGAAATTGGTAAATTCCAAAATCGAAAATTTGAAAATTTCAAAACGGAAGAAACAAAAAAAAGAAAGTCTGGTTTTTACTTTATATAAGTTATCAGGAAACAAGAATCGTAAAAAAATCTAATAGCTTTTCAAAGAAGCGGGATTTGTTGGGCGTGGAAAGTTTAGTCGAAATAACCATTTTTTTTCCACAGTCAGTGTAGCTAAGCGACATTTCTAGATCACTAAAGCAAAAACGATTTCGCCACACACGTTGCAAATAAAACTTGATTAACTCCGGTCCGCGTTTTCTTTCTCCAAATATTTTCGATAAATCAGCGGGATGCGCTTTTTATTTATTACAGAGTCCATTAACGCAAATATATGATAATGATCCCTGCCGCCATCTATGGACTGACAAACAGCGCACTTAATCTATCAGTTTTATTTGTGTACATACGTTATATAACTCGGCTAATATTTACGCGATGGCGCTCGCTGCTCTTTTTTATAGCGTTGCCTTGGGCATAATTTTAATTTGCGCTGTTTATGCGGTAGCGGAATTAACATACCAGTAGCAGTAATAATAATAATCATTCTATCAAGCCATCTAATAAATTCATACGTTTTTTTCGTCCACTAACCGTTTCTTGGCTTTTCGTTATTGTTCTTGCCCAAAAATTAATAAAAATTAATTTTCCGCTTTGTTAACCCCATTAGCTGCAGCAATCAACACTGTGTCATAATAACGCTTCTTGAATATTTAAATCGAGCCTTCATTAATCGACGATAGTGGGTGTCTTGTTTTCGTTGTTGTTATTTTCCCGGCCATGTTTCGCTTTTCGATAATTGAATAATTGCCGTGTTTGTTGCGAGATGTTTAAATATTGAACGGCATTGTGCAAGTCCGTCGAGATAAAAAAATGTAAATGTAGATGCGAACAAGGTCGGGCTGTTGATTTTATTGCTGTTGATTTATGGAGAAAACTTGCGAATTTTTAAATGGAGTGGTGCAATATCGCATTAAAATTTTTCCTTCGATTTGTTTACCTGCACGGATCTTGTTTGTGGCGTTCGTGTTGCAATAAACAATATTATTTCTAGTTATTATTATTGTTGGGATTTCAATAGAATCTTACTTAAGTACGTTCACTTTAACCATGTCGAAAAAATATGTATGGGTGTTCCGCAGGGGTCGATACTTGGATTCAATTCTATTCATTCAAGTTGGCTAAAAAAATGTAAATGCCACTGGACGAAAAACCCTCCTTAAACCGTAATAACCCAATTAACCAATTTGGCAAAAACCGATCTCCCCGACCCCCGGTCCCGATTTCGGCCGTCCACAGTTCGTCCGGCAATTATCGATTCGCGACGGTTTCGGCAATTCCGGCGGCTCCTGAGAGATTTCGCCGTAAATAATTCACACTCCGTCCGCCAAGGAGAAGTTAATTTCGCTTAATTATTGACCCCGGCCGAATGACTTAATTTCAATTTGCCGATTAAGTTCGACCCGAATATGCCCAAGTTTAAAATTGAATCAGCATGATTAATAAAGTTGTTTAATTTGTTTCAGTTGCCACCCCTGGGTACTTTCAATGAAAAGGTGAGTCCCCCATCGAGCGGATTAAGTAAGTGCACGGCCGGGCTTTTTCTTTATCAATTTTATTACGGAATTCGAGCCCCCTTTGAAGCGAGCTTCGCGAGTGGATTATAATTTCTATTACGGAACGGTGTACAAGCAACATTAAGAAAATGTTTGACATGAATGGCTATTTTTACCACGCGTTCGACTCGATTAATGGCAGCCGGTTGCTTTATGGGGCGCGCGACCGCTGTGGACAAGAGAAAAATCGCTCGGGATGATGGAGGTTGTGTAAGCGGAGTGGAGGAAATCGAGACGAGTAGTTGCACTCGCTTTAGGAAAAAAAAAAGCGAAAACTGGTTGGTTGTCATACGAGTCGAACGTCCCACCACTGAATTTGAGGGTTTCAGATGTGTCAAAAAATTTGATATTAATTCAAAGCAAATTTCTAGGTTTAATTATGACTGTCAGTGTGCATTAATACGGGCAAATTAATGATTTGCTTTTAAAACGGTAATAATTAAGAAACTCGTAGATAGCAGGCTATTATGCGAAGACATAAGGAGCCATCAGGATTATTTCAAAATCATCCAAAAACATAAGACCAGAGCTCAGAGGTCCCAAGATTTGAACAATCTGCCAAGGTAAAACTGATTTTGGCAAATGAGATTTATCTAAGAAAATAGCGGGCGGGTGGGCGGGGTTAGTACCTGCTAAAATAAGTCGATTTTGGCAAATGATATACCCTCTAAGAAAACAGAGGGTGGGTGGGCGGGGCTAACAGCTGCTAAGATAAAACTATTTTCTTAGAGGGTATGTCATCTGCCAAATCGATATTAGATTAGCAGGTACTAACCCCGCCCACCCACCCTCTATTTTCTTAGAGAAATCTCATTTGCCAAATCAGTCTTATCCTAACAAGTATTAGCCCCGCCCACCAATCCCCTTTTTTCTTAGAGAGTATGTCATTTGCCAAAATCTGGTTTATCTTAGCCATCAGTACTAATGGCTAACTTTTACAAAAAAATTGGTCTAAAGAGTTTAGACAGTACTTCCCTCGCTGTCGGAAACTTGACGACTGCATGCCTATTGTGTTTTTTTTCTCATTACATTTTTGTAGTGGGAATTTAAAAAAAAATTGCGATGCATTTTTGCAAGGACACGTATATCAGTTGGGATAGATGTAGTGTAATACTAAGAATAAAATTATTATATTCTCAAATTTTCGGGAAAATGAATCGGGTCGTTTTGAATATTGATTTGTAATAATCAATAAAATAACGAAACAATTTACTCACGTATACGTATCAGAGGCAACTGAAAATCGTGTATGTATAAACATTCTTAATTTAAGATGACAGGCGTAACAGCATACGTGAGAGTCAAACAGAGAAACTGTAAACAAAACGACCATCGGTTTTATTGCTTCGACTTCCGCTTATTATATAAAACATTGGGTATTATTTTAATTCTTGACGGTGAAATTCACAATTGGTTGATTATAAACATGTCTATTTCACATTCGCGGAACCAAGTGAGCGCATAAAACAAATGCAGGTCTGTAATGTTAAAGTCGATGTAAATAAGCGTGCTACCCTTATGTTTCAACCGAGTTTTTCCTTTAACAAATTTTGTGTCTACCAAATTGGGTTGGTTGGGGTGTAATACTAATAATAAGTGTTGCCTTTAATTTAATCAATAAAATAAATTGACTTCATTAATTTTTTTGAACCACCTCTTAAGAAAATCTAAAAAATATGAATGGAATGATAAATCACAAGTACAAACTCATCATATTTTTTGCATTTTAGATAGGATTTATTCAGCAAAATTTAAGGGTGACGTCATCAATTTTTTTAGGAGGGATGAACAAATACATTTTGAACAAAAGTTTACCATGCTTATAATAACTTTAAAATATTCCCAAGATTTCAAAGCATTCGGTTTTGTAATTCCTGATTAAATCGATAAAATAAATTCACGCCTTCATTAATTTTTTTGAGTCACCCTGCATATGCAAATCCAAAAATATGAATGGAATGATAAATCACAAGTACAGACTCATCATATTTTGTACATTTTAGATACGATTTATTCGGCAAACTTTTGAGCTGACGTCATCAGTTTTTTGTAGAAGATAACCAAATATATTTTGACTAAAAATTTATTATGCTCTTTATAACCTTAAAACATCTGCAAGATTTCAAAGCATTCGGTTTTGTAGTTCCTGATTAAATCAATAAAATAAATTTACGCATTCATTAATTTTTTTGAGTCACCCTGTATATGCAAATCGAAAAAATTTGAATGGAATGATAAATCACAAGAAGAGATTCACCATATTTTGTACATTTTAGATAGGATTTTTTCAGCAAAATTTTGTGGTGACACCATACATTTTTTAGAGGGGACGACCAAATACATTTTGATAAAAAATTTACCATGCTTATGATAATTTTAAAATATCTTCAAGATTTCGAAGCATTCGGTTTTGTAGTTCCTGAGTAAATCAGTAAAATAAATTTACGCTTTCATTTATTTTCTTGAATCACCCTGTATATGCAAATCCAAAAAATATGAATGGAGTGATAGATCACAAGTACAGACTGATCATATTTTGTACATTTTAGATATTATTTATTCGGCAAATTTTCGAGCTGACGTCATCAAGTTTTTGGAGGGGATAAGCAAATATATTTTGACTAAACATTTATTATGCTCTTTATAACCTTAAAACATCTGCAAGATGTCAGAGCATTCCGTTTTGTAGTTCCTGATTAAATCAATAAAATATATTTACGCATTCATTAATTTTTTTGAGTCACTCTGTATATGCAAATCCAAAAAATATGAATGGAGTGATAAATGACAAGTACAGGCTCATCATATTTTGTACATTTTAGATATGATTTATTCGGCAAACTTTCGAGCTGACGTCATCAAGTTTTTGGAGGGGATAAGCAAATATATTTTGACTAAACATTTATTATGCTCTTTATGACCTTAAAACATCTGCAAGATTTCAGAGCATTCGGTTTTGTAGTTCCTGATTAAATCAATAAAATATATTTACGCATTCATTAATTTTTTTGAGTCACCCTGTATATGCAAATCCAAAAAATATGAATGGAGTGATAGATCACAAGTACAGACTCATCATATTTTGTACATTTTAGATATGATTTATTCCACAAACTTTTGAGTTGACGTCATCAAGTTTTTGGAGGGGATAAGCAAATATTTTTTGACTAAAGATTTATGATGCTCTTTATAGCCTTAAAACATCTGCAACATTTCAAAGCATTCTGGTGAGCAGATTAAAAATTAAATTTCAAAATGTTGTTTTATAATTTTGATTTTTTTTCCAAAAATCTGGACGTTTCGGGTGAAAAGTCGATTCAGAGTTGTAAACTACATGTGTAGGACTATGTTATTTTATACAATTGAAAACCCATTTACTATGTACAATTTTGAAGTGACGTCATCGCATTAGTGGTGGGGATGATTAGACAAATTTTGGTTAGCGTTTTACCATCTACATGATATTCTTAACATAAGTACAAAATTTCACAACAATCGGTCGAGTACTTTCGGAGATTATCTGTCTAATAAAAATCCGGGACAACAGACGGACAGACGGACGGACAGACAGACGGAAATGGGAGACCTATTTCTTCGTCTTCTAGGGGTCATGAAAGATCGAGAAAACGTAAAAGTAGAGAGTCGGCCGACGGACTCGATTACAATACTTCCTTTGCTTACGCTCGGGAAGTAAAAATGAACAAAATTTGGAAACATTACAAGCTTACTTATACGCACAAGGCAGGAATTTTGAATATCTTCTCTAGAGTTTAGTTGGTTCGATGAAAATTTTGGATATCACAATCTACAAAAAAGTGGTTTTGTATATTTTTTAAAAATGGTCGAAGAGGGTTGGAAATTTCATAAAGGAAAAATGAGCGTTTGGAAGAGTATTCTAAATGTCAAAAAAAATTCTGCGATATGGGATCTCGACATTGTGGTTCGAAAAATATGGCGTGTTTGTCCCCGGAGCAACATTTTCGAAATATCTACTTTGAAAATCGAATTTTTAAAAATCCTAAACCTTCATATCATTTCGACAATTTTGAACTATTCTACGAGTTTTCGAAGAAATTACGCAGAAAATTTTCGAAAGTGGTCGAGAAAATGGCGGAAATTTCATGGGGGGAGAGTGTTGAAAAATCAAATTTAATTGTAAACATGTTTTAAGTCTCGTGTTGTAAAAAGAAGTCTACACATATTAAAACAAAAAGACAAAATGTAAGCCCGCCCACCCACCCTGTCTCAAGTGATAATTTTTTTATTCGCAGTGAACCAAGAGAGCGGAGCTTAACTGCAAAATACTTATTTCTTTACAAGAAATTAAAAACATGTTTTTGAGTATCGTGTTCAAAGAATTTTATGTATATTAAGAAAAAAAGGCAAAATATTAACCGCGCCCACCCACCCCATCTCAATTGCAATAATTTTTTTATTCTTAGAAACTCTAAACACGTTTAAAATGGTAAATTTTTGTAAGGAAATGTGGGTTTTGCAATTAGGCTCCGCCCCTAGGTCTAGCAACAAATGAAAACTTCACTATTATTTAGATCAGGGCAGTTATGGGGGCGGGGGTTAATGTTTGGCTATAATTTTTTCTTAATATACATAGTATTTTTTGCATAACACAATACTCAAAAACATGAGTCTTACATGGTAATTTCTTCTAGAGAAATAATAACGATTTTGCAATTAAATACCGGTCGTTTGGCTGTCGACAATTAAAAAAAATCATCACAATTGAGACAGGGCGGGTGGGCGGGGCTTATGTTTTGCCTTTTTTCTTGACATACGTACTCGTCTTTTCAGAACAAGAAACTTAAAACATGTTTAATGGTAAATTCTTGTAGACAAATATGGATCTTGCAATTAAGCCCCGCCCCTCGATTTGACAACGAATGAAAAATTCATCACAATTGAGAATTGGGATCGAGGCGGGT